AACAAACCATTGTAAAAAAAAATAATCAAAAATAGAAAACGGGAAAAAAAATTGAAACGGAGGGGGAAACTATTAACATCCTTACATATCGTAAGCATCCGCGCTTGACTCGATGGCCTTCCCGGCAACATTGCAATCTCCCTTAAAGAAACAAACAACTCCCCCCACCCCCCACGGAAAAAAGGTAAACAAACAAACAAACGAAAATAGGGGGCCTGTTAGTGGAAAAAGTAGCAATAAGGGAGAGATGCTGTTAAGCCTTGAAAGCTGCACTGGCTTTTATGGGTATCTGGAGTCCTTTTGTTTTTTGTGCCTCGTGTGTGTTTTTTTTTTGTTTTTTTTGTGGCTTATGCGTGTGGGTGGTTTTGTTGTTGTTGTTTTGAGAGGAGGAGGAGGAAGGGAGGAAGGGAGGGAGGGTGAGAAGGGAGGAGGGAGGGTGGGAGGGTGGGGAGGGGAAGGGAGAAAGGGAGGAAGGGAGCGAGGAGGGAGGGAAGAGATGGAAGGGAAAGGAGGAGGGAGGAGGGAGGGAAGGGAGGAAGAGGAGGAGGAAGGGAAGAGATGGAAGGGAAGGGAGAGAGAGAGAGAGGGAAGAAAAGGGATAAAGAGGGATGGATGGATGGAGAAAGAGGGAGGGAGGAAGGAAAGAGAGAATAGGGAAGGAGGGAGGGAGAAAGGGAGAAATTTATAGGTGGGTGTATATATGTAACGCCGTGGATATTCGTCCGGCACCGGATCTCATCGCAGTTTGGCTATTCGTCCTGCACGCATTAACTATTTGCACACGAACACACACTCGCGCTTGTGCAATCATCAAAACAAACGTTGGCGCCATTTTTTGTGGTTGTGGATCTGAATTTTTGTGTAGGATACTTACACAAAGACTAAACTTAACAGTCTTGTAACTACAGTATGCTGATCTGCTATGTTGATATTTATCACTTTTTAAGCACATTCAAACAAGATTGTCCAGCAGAAATAAGACTTGACCCAACCTAACCTAACCTAACCTAACCTAACCTAACCTAACCTAACCTAACCACCTATCCTAACCACCTAACCTAACCTAACCACCTAACCTAACCTAACCTAACCTAACCTAATCTAACCTAACCACCTAACCTTACCACCCAACCCAACCCTCTGCTATCACCCTCTATCTATCTCTGCTATTTATTTTCCACACGGGGACCTCTGAAAACAAACAATTTTGCCGAATAATGACAAGCTGGAGATTTTCAATAAAATGGCAAAAAAATTGCTTCTTGCAATATTGCTTGGAAAATAGCTCTACAGGATAGGTGTCCGACAGAAAACGCCGGAAAAATATCCCAACAGAGACGAAATAACAACGAAACTCGCGCAAATAGTTAATGCGCATGCGTGCCGGACGAATAGCCAAAATGTGATAAGATCCGGTACAGGACGAATATATGTATAAATATATGTAAAACTAGTAAAATAGTAACGTAGTAGTAACCCAAACAAAGAAATAGAAATAATAATTAATATTAATGCTTATATATATATTTTTATAATACGTGTTCCCAGTAAATATAAAAAAAAACTCATGCGCACTTCTACAATGATGAAGTTATCTTATATCCTCATCAGACCCACTTAAAAAAAAAAAAAAAAAAAAAATCTAGCCATGAACTTATACCCCCCCCCCCCCCACACACACACACACACACATACACCACCTCACACCCAACCGTCACCCACCAAACCCACCCTTACAAAAAAAAAAAAAAAAAAAAAAAAAAACATACAAACAAAAGAATCCCCCCCCCCCCTTCTAAGACGCCATCCCAGATCCACAACAATTCCAGTCACGTTCCCACCCCCCGTCTTACCTTGTGTTGATGAGGCTGTCGGACCACGTCAGGAGGAGGTCGCCCCTCGTCACTTCCAGCGCCCGTACGCCCGACACCTGATGGGGGAGGGGGGGGAGGCGATGGTAGTTGGGCTGTGTGGTTGTGGCTCGTTTGGGGTGTAGGGCAGGGTAGGGTGGTGGTGGGAGGAGGAGGAGGAGGAGGAGGAGGGGGAGGAAGAGGAGGAGGAGAAGGAGAAGGAAGAGGAGTAGGAGGATGAGGGGGAGGAGGAGGAGGAAGAGGAGGAGGAGGAGGAGGAGGAGGAGGAGGAGGAGGAGGAGGAGGAGGAGGAGGAGGAGGAGGAGGAGAATGAGGAGGAGGAGGACGAGGAAGAAGAGGAGGAAGAGGAGTAGGAGGAGGGGAAGGAGAAGAAGGAAGAGGAAGAGGAGAAGAAGGGGGAGGAGGAAGAGGAGGAGAAGGAGAAGAAAGAGGAGAAAGAAGAGAAGGAGAAGTATGAGGAAGACCAATGGTAGCAGTAAGTGTTGTAGATATTATTGTCCAGATTGTTATTGTTTGTGTATTTGTGTAGTTGTTTGTCTGTGAGTGTTTTTAAGAGCCGCTTTTTATGAATGCCCTTTTCATTGAGGGTAAGTGTAATGGTAATGTGCTCTTGAGGGTAATGTGACGTA